ATAATTATTTAAAAAAAATGATTTTTATTACCGTATCTTTATAATTTTCTAGCTCAAAATAAAAAAATTAAAATTAAATAACACAAATTTATAAAAATTAAAACATTTGCACTTAATGTATGAGTTTGAGTAGTTTTTATACGCGTTCAAGTGCACATTACCTTATATATGTAAAATAAATTTTATAAATTCATAAAACGTATGTATGTATATATTTTATAATTAATTTGAAATTATGACAGTTAGTCAATCTATATAGACTTGATTTACTGTATAACTAAAAAATGAAATGAAGAAAAAGATAAGCAAAAAGGAAAAAATTAAAAAAATATTTTTCGTGGAGTGTTTTTTTTTGCTTTCTTATTATTTTTTGCGTTTTTATATTAAAATCAACCATTTTCAATTAAATTAAGTTGAATCTTTGCTTACTTGCTTACTTGCTTGCTTATTTAGTTATACCAACTTATTGAACTGCCTACTCATTCACGTTATCTATTTTCCAACTTTTCAATTCACATTTTTCCTTTTTCTCTTATATTTTGGAGTTTGTCGCGCAAAAAAGTAGTATAAATTATTGGAATATTTTTATTATACAAATATATATATATATATAACATATTTATATTATAATTATAAAGTACTTTATTAAAAAGTGTATGCGAATAATAAGGTGTAAAAATATTTTAACAAAAAAAAAACTTAACACTGAATAATATTCGTACATAAATATTATACATATTGTGAATATATAGTACTGTATAACAGTTAACTGGAATCGTAACAATTTTACCATTAAATATGATTTGGCATACAAAACATGTTCGAAATTTTTTTTTATTAATAAATTTATTATTTCTCTTATTGTGGAAAATAAATCAGCTTATATATGATTTAATTTAATTTAATAAATGCAATATTGAAATTATTTGAGTCCGAATTGGAAAATTTTTAATCAAGTTTTATTACTAAAAATAATAAATGTAATTTAATGCACAATTTAAAATTAATGGATTTTAATAAAAATTAACATATAAATTTTAAAATTTAGGTTTACAGAAACTTTTTTTTTTTGTGGCAGTGTGGTGAACAATTTTTTTTTGTTAAATATTGAATTTAGAATTCTTTATATTGTATGTGTAATATGGTTGTATGATTCTGTCAATTCATCAGCTGTAATTAATAATACTATTTATGTCGAATTATTGAAAGTGAAAATATTTTAAAAATGATATTGATGATATCACATAGTTTTTATTGAAAGGATTTGAAACTTATGATTGCTTATTAATTACTTTAATTTATTGCATTCATCTCAATTAAGTCCAAACTAATAGTATAGAAATACAGTGAATTATAATAATTAAAAACGGTTTTGCCGCCTTTGATATATTGTTACTTATACCAATTTCATCGATTTCGATAGCGAAAGTTATTTAGAGTAAGTCAATGTATGAAAAATTGAATTTACACTCTAAATATCAACATGCTTAGAAGCTTGCTTGAAATTTAAGGATTTCAGAAACTCGAGTTTTGAAGACAAAATATTAGTAGCAATTTATAGCAAAAACATTTTTAAAGGGAATTATATTTTGAAATTAATTAATTTTGAATTTGAAAATAAACAAACGTACATTTGTGCTGTGTATGGTAGGTTATTCCGTTACATAGGCCCATTAAATTAATTTTTTCATTTACTCGAATACATTTAAATTTTAAATTTAAAATTAAATTGCTTTCATATAAAATACAAATAAATGTTAAACTTTTGACAACTAAGAAGCGAATGATTCAATTCATTTTTTACGAAAATTTCGCAATTCCCAGTAGAAAATAGGTAATACGTGTAATATTTCTTTGCTAATAAATATTTTCGAATTTCATTGGTTTAAATAACTCAAAAATAAAACCTTATTTGTTGCTCTAGTATGACTTCACATAATGGTTATTTTTTTTTTTAATTTTTATATTATTACCATAAATATACATAATTCATATCTAAGTTTTATGATCTTAATCATATTAATTGTAAAATATGTATAAATTAAATCCCATAGGAGCCTCAGCAGTAGAAATTAAAATGAAATTTACAATATTATTATTAAAATTCGAGCAATTTTATTGAATAAATAATTTAATGTTTATTACTTGTACATAAGTATATACACACAATCATATATGAAAAAAAATATTTTAGATTTATAGATACTTTTAGATAATATAATGAATAATATAAGTGCATTTGTTTTTAGAATAGAATAAAATGAAATTAATTAACACACCTGTCCACCGTTTAATTTGTTGAAAATGATAAATAAATACACATGTATATAAAATATTTTTGGAAAATAATTCATTTATGAGAAATTAGTTTGATTTAAGTAGAGCTCTATAGCAATCTGGTAACTGTGTTCTATTTCAGTATTTTATATCTTTAGTTAAAAGTGGAGAATCTTTAAATCTTGTAATAACTCTTCTGTTATTTTTAGAGTTTTTTATATTTTAGTTGCCAAAATTCAATTATGGTGTTTATTTCGCATTTTAGTTCACAATCAATCTTTTCACGTTGACTTAAATTTATTGTTTGCACAAAACTATTGTACAGGTTTATATTTTATTGTAATTAAGACAAAGAGTCTTAGAGTAATAAACTCCTCTTTATCAAGTAACGGTACAAGAGAAATGCACTAGATAGAGTATTTCTTTTTTTTCGTAATATGATAAACTATCCAACAAGAATAATGATATTTTCTTATAATTGTGCATATCGCAGCACTTTCCCTTCAACAACATATATGAAAACACTTCAAAGATTAAATACATTTAGGACGAGTGAAAAAAATTAAAAGAGGCTTTAACAAAATGCCCGAATTCAAGAGTTACTTGCGTGATTTAAGAAAAATAAATATATTTTTTGATGGCATGGCATTTACGGTTAGTCTTCTGCATTTATCGAAATTTAGAAATGATTACAATTTCGGAAGTATAAGGTGCCAAAACTTCAAATACTTGCCACCACTTTGCTGCGAAATTTTAAAAATGCTTATGGAAAAAAAGAAACGTGAATTATATCCTGCACCTTGACAATTGGAGTATAAAAAACTATTTTGGAAATATTTAGAATAAAACTTCACGGATATTCCTGACATATAATTGGACAAAATTAGATAAAACTGCCAAGTTTCATAAATCTAAGTTTATCATTTTTCCGAATTAAAATTACTTTTTTGAGTTGTATAGCAGCTAACCAAGTCATTGCAGACACCCCATTGAAATTTGTAAAACTATATAAGATGTAATTGAACCCCCCTTTAAAAAATTTGATATTAATATTTTTATTAATTTTTGAAATATTAAAGATAATATCTTTGAATATGGTTACCCGAACATGGACAAAAAAAATGTTTTTCTTTTAGGCAAAATTTAGCTATGCTGGATCTTTTAGACCATTTATTGATATATAACTTGATTGCTACAAAAATTTGAATTTGGCATGTTCCTATGTAAGCGAAAGGTCAACATAATAAATGTGAAATAGTGTAAAACTATAGGGCCTTGAGTTTGTGTGTGTATTGCAAATTTTATTATAAATAATTCAAGAATTTTTTTCACAGTCCAGATTCATTTCATATTTTAAAAGTATTTTTTTAAATTATTTTATGCATTAGGTATGTTATGTTTGTATATAAATAAATTTTTAAAAGAAATTTCATATTAATTTATTGGAATGCTAAGCAATCATTTGATTTTACTTGCTTAATATCATTTACAAATTGTGCGGTGTTAGCCAGCTGTCTAACTATTGTGCCAACTTATATTTGTACGCGAATTCTTCTGAATGTTAAAGAATTCACGTTGAAATATTTGGTTCTCATTTGTTATATAATATAAATGACGACAATTACAAAAAACAAAAAAAAAAACAAAGAATCTAGAAAGCTAAAAAATTGGAAAGGTATTAAAAAGTTACAAGCAAAGTGATTGAAAATATTTAAAAAATTTTGTTATCAAGTTTATAAGTTTTTTTTATTGTTTTAAAATGAACTTTAAAACCCAACAAACAAAAAAGAAACAAAAAACAGATTATAACATGGAAAAAATTCCTTAAGCGTTTTTGTCGATTGACTCCAAAACGTGATGAAATTTAACTTTTTTTCCAGTATAACTCATTGCAATTTTTACATGTCCATATGAATATGTGCAACATAAATTTTATATATAATATATAGAGTCCTTTTTTAGTAACATTTATTCGCTACCTTATTCTGAGCTGTAGGTATAAAATTAAATGCAAGTATGTATAGTGAGGGAATTATCAGGAATAAATGACGTATCACCTACCGCATTAGTCTTGTTGGTCTGACATTAATGGTGATATTTAGTGAAACTTACATTTTTCATATATTTGTAATGGAATTTTAAAGGCTGACTGTTAAGAATTTTCGATAGTTTTGTTTTTATTTTAAGCCTATTTAGGAGTACATACATAGAATATAACATAACCATAAGTATGAAAACCTTTTATATACATAGAAGTATACGTATATGCTGTTTATAAACTGTTTTATGTTTCTTTTTTCATTGCTACCGTCGTCCTTAAAATTATTCTCACATTATTATGGACATTTTAAAAAAATTATTTTTCACACCTCGTTTGAAATTTCTGATCATTGCTTAATATACGAGTACTTACATACATACGTGGGTACGAATAGGCACTACATGGTAAATTTATCGTATTGTATGAGAAATTGTAATAATAGTTGTTTTGGAATTCTTTGATATGATTTTGATAAAATCCCAAATGGACTTATTATCATTGTACGCACATAAAATGTTGTTTTATTGTGTTGGAACTTATGTTTTTTCCTTATTTGGAAAATTAAAGAAATAAATTTATTTTTTGCTTTTTTTTAATTTCGTATATTTTTTTTTTAATATTTATGAAAATATATTTTTTTTAAATTTTTTTTTAATTTTTATTATTTAACTTAATTTTATAGTTGGTCTTTCACCGACAGTACCATCAGCAACAGGTACAGTACCGAGTCCAAGTGGTGGAATATTTCCTGGTGGTGGCAATCCATCACCATCAACTTTGTCAGCGCTAGTCTCACAGCATCGCTTATTAGAATTATCAAGATTTGGTCTTAGAGGTTATGATTTAGCTCAGCATATGTTAACACAACAGGGTGCCGTTTCAAAATTATTAGGTGAGTATTAATATAACTTTTAAATATATGTGTGGTATTTAAATATCGTGATAAAATTGGGTTTGGCAATCGAATTATAGTAATAATATTACATTTTGATTATATTAGACCTACCATATAAGTTTATAACAAAATAACTCGAATCAAATTAATTAGTTTTTAGCACTTTTCCAAAAATTTTTTGGAAAAAAGTGCTTATTGGTTTCACTCTGTCCGTCCGTCCGTCTGTCCGTGTGTCTGTTTACAAAACTTCTACACCCTTGAAGATAGAAACCTGAAATTTTATATGTACATAGATCTTTACTAGAAACTAATTTTCGTTGATAATTTTTACCTAAAAGTTATAAGTCCCCTGTAAAAGTTATACATCCCCAAAACCCTAGAAATGCCATTTTCAACTGTTTACTGTAGTTTAACCATATGCTTTTTTCAAATTCTACAAACGCATACTATACTTGAACTTTAAAAAAACAAAATGGCCGTTAAAATTTACCGTTACATAAAATCCGTTGTTTTTTAAAATTTTTGATGTTGTTTTTCTTATAGACCCAAGGAAGTGGGAGCCTGAAATTTTAGCAGCTTTTAGCTGCTAAAATTTCAGGCCCTCTCGAGCTATGCCTCTTAAAATTTGTAAAATTTGAATTTTTGACGCTTTATATTTCCGAAACCGCAATCTTTTTCAAATTTCTATAAACGTAAAAAGCTAACTATAAATTCGATAACTTTAAAAAATATAATTATTTTTCTTAACTCGTGCAATTAACCACTCTTTATATAAATTTTATATCCTAAATATATGCAATCCTAGAAATAGTTTCGTATATGAATGAAAATAATTTTGATAGTGTGGTAGGTATACATAGATTGTTTTTTGTAGCAGTATTTTCACTTTTTGAAGGGAAAAGTGCTATAATACAACTTTTGGCTATAATACACACAGCATTGGTTTGACCCAACTTTATTGAAGTAACACATTTGCCTTGAACAATAATTTCAATTGCAAATAAATTTTTTCAATTACTGAAAATTTTGCTTTTATCAATAATTTTTACAGATAATTACTACTTAAAATTACTTTCATTCATATACAATAATATTTCAAAAATTTGAGTACATTTAGGATTAGCAATGTATGCAATCTTTGAAATAAAACAAAAAAAAATTGAAAGAGGCGTTAATATATTGCTCGAATATAGGGGTTAAAGGCGTAAGTTAAGGAAAATAATTATATCTTTTAATGGCATAGCATTTACCGTTAGCTTTCTGTTTTTATAGAAATTTGGGATTGCTTGCATTTTCGGAAATATAAATGCCAAAAATTCGAATTTTACAAATTTCGAAAAGAGAAAACTTGAGAGGGCCTAAAAGCTGCTAAAATTTCAGACACCTAAAACATGCGATCTGGAGAAAAACGATGTCAAATTTTTTAAAAAAAATGGATTTTAGATAACGGTAAATTTTAACTTCCATTTCGTTTTTTCAAAGTTCAAATATGATAATCCTTGGTTGAAGAATCCACCCATTAGTTTATTTATTTATTTATTTTATATAACATTATATAATAAATTATAATAATATTATCAACACCCTCGGCTGCGATATTGCTTCTGGGTCACACGCTGTTCACGAAGAAATATCTATTTGAAAATACTAGTGCGCCAACTTGTTCCTTTTGTGGCAATATTTTAAATGTTAAACATATTTTTATGGAATGCTCTGTTTCTAGGGATTATTTGGAGTTCTGCTCTAAAGAGTTCTATGAAATTTTGCCAATCCAATAACCGAGAATATAAACTTTATTAAGAGTATTTGTGACCTATTTAATATGTGGAATTTGATTTAATTAATCTTGTTAAGAAGTATATAAAGGTCATAATGCACAAAAAAGTAAAATTAAAAATATTGAAATTGTAAACTAACGTAGTATTAAGTTAATAACATAAGTAATAAGATAAATTAATTTTCTAAGCCCACCCATTAGTTTTAAAGGGGGCGAAATAGGTCAAAATTTTCTTCTATGGAAATAAGGTTTTAGTAAATATCTGTGTACATAATTGCAGCTTTCTATCTTTAAGCGTGTAGAAGTTTTGTAAACAGACACACGGACAGATGGACAAACGGACAGACGGACGGGACAGAGTGAAACTAATAAGCACTTTTTTCAAAATTTTTTTGGAAAAGTATTAAAAGCAAAAGAGATTTTAATTTAGTATTATGACAGGTTAAAATTTTATTCTAACAAAATTAGTTTGCCGTTAAGGTTCTTTTGTCTAAATAGGAGAATATTCTAAGTCATAATAGTCTTTTAATAAATTTTATGTTATTAATTTACAACATTCTAAATTGCGTTTAACATAGTGAGATTTCGGTACATCAATACAACAAATGTCACAAATGTACAGTTTCGATTATATTGTAGACTTTCCAATAAGAAAGTTTGAAAAATATTTACTATTTTAATGCTTGTTCAAGCTTTAGTTTGAAATTATTAAAATTTTTCTGAGGTTTTAAAACTGTTACATTAAAAACAAATAAATTTTATTTACAAATATTGTCGACGTATTCATAGAAAATCAAAATGGGAAGAGCGAACACAAATGTTCTAAGAAGACATAAAAAACAGAATATCCGAATACAAAAAAAAACTTATAATTGACAATTAAGACAGGGCTGTATTTTGTACACTTAAATATGAAAAATCTTTTTGTTATTTCAACTAAGATTCTGCAACTAATTAAGAAAGATTTGAATTTGAAACTGTCTCGGAAAACGGTCAGAAGACGTGGAGAAAATCTTTGTATCTTAAAAAGAAGAAGACGCCATTCAAATTTCGCAGAAATGCATAGAGAAAAATAATTTTCATTTTGGAAAAATACAAATGGAAAATATTTTTGAAATGACAGTACTTAACACGGTATAATAATATTATCTTCGTTCAAAATGAATAAAGTATATCTAAATTTTTATTGTTTTAACTCTTAAAAATTAAAGTATCTTATTTACCTTGCCCAAAATGTACACGAAAATATCATTAATCAATGCATACGTAAGAGGGAAAGTCTGAAACAAAAAAGAAAATTTTTTTCCGATTTTGGGAAAAATAAGCTAAAACGAGAAGAATGTGCAAAGTCTCTTTTTAATAAAAAAAACGGGACAAAATTCCTCAGCTTGAATTTGAAATCATAAATACAATTTTCGGTACTCAAACGTTCTCTGCGATTTATGCAGATTTACGTTTTAAAATGAATTTCCTTTTTACGATTTTTCTTTGTACACTCAATTCATATTTTCCAAAATTCTCTTGATAAAAGTAAGTTCCAATCAAAGAAAAAAGAGATCCTAAGAAAATAGTTGCACAAATTTACACCCGTTTTGACTCAAAACAATTTATTTAACCATAGCTAAAAATTATATCTAACCATAACATTGTGTTTGTACAATTAAATTCTTAAATTCATTTTATTTAAAACTTTTCCAATTAAATCTTTTTAACATTAATAATTAAATGAATACATACAATTACAGTAAAAATAATTACATCTATATAAAATTAATTTACATTCATTGTGAGAATTAATTGAACAACGGATGTTATGCGGAAGTGAACACTAAACAAATCATTCATTCTTTTCTAATAATATTAAATTTAAAGCCTCATTATAATGAGTTTAAGTAATGAAGAGAGGAAGTCTAAAAGCTTCACATATTTAAAATCAATTAACTAGCAAAAATAAAGGAAAATAAAAAAACAAAAATTCCGAGGGCTTCATTTACATGACAATTCCAAATTGTCTTTTTATTTTTCTAATTCAAAACTCTGAAAGACAAAAAATAAATATTTGTAATTTTAATTTAAGTTCATTTCAAGCTCAATTTCAATTTAGCAGTTGTGTGAAATAAAAATTTTCAGAACGCGTAAATTACAATGATTTAATTTTACTTACTTGCACTTTCATATACTTATTCTATGTATATATTATTGGCATTTGCATGTACACAGGTAGATTATAATAACTAAAACACAAAATGAAAGAACACGGGAAAAATTTATTCACAATTGCACTTTTCAATAGGAATAGAAATAAAACACGGAAATTTTGCATCCGCTATGATGTAATGTGCAATCATTTTGATTTTTATGCAAATTTTGTTCATATTTTGTATTCGGATAAAGGTTAGCGTGTAATTAGAGTAAACGATTAATTGTTTTCAATAAATTTGCATAAATTTTTTTTTAATAGATTCAGGTGTTAACTAAGGTTAATTCAAACTAAATTTTCTACATATCTTTAGATTCGCTCATTTATTGTTATTTTATAATTAAAATTCAACTCTGTTTGTTTTAGGTTTAGAGAATAACATTTGTGTACATCAGATTAGCTCCTGAACAGATACACTTGCTTATTCTATTGTTTCACAACAGCTCCCAGAATCGTGTTACTAATTTTATTATTTTTTTATAAAATTTTTTTTATAAAACCATTTTACAATCAATTTTAAAAAAGGAATTTGTATTTAACGTACAGTAAAAGTATTTGTGCACAAGAAATTTTTTAAAGAAATTTCAAGTAACCAAGTCTAATAAGGCTCTGGTGATTTCCTAATTTAAAAATTACATACTTCATATTATTATAATTTCTAATTTATGGAAAACTTTTATTTCCTGATATGTCTACCTTTTCTTAGACACATTATAAATTAGGATTTGCACAAATTACTTACATATATAGCAGTTTTTATGTAATAGAAATTAAAAACGTCACCTGCAAACTTTTAAAATTCACAAACAACTACAATAATTTAGAATGAAGAAATATTATTGTAAATAAACTTAAATTTTCATCAAAAAGTAAAATGAATTTTAATTAGAAGTCTTTATATAAAGAATAAATTTGGAACGGTTTAGCGTTTTTTCTTTGTTCCCGACGGAAATTTTAAGCCAGTGGATATTTCTTTTTCGACGATTTCTTGCAGGAATGGCAAATTTTCTGAAATATTCTAGCAATTTGCCTTTTAAATCTATTACAGTTCCAAAATGCAGTTAACTTCAGTTTTGTAGGATATGTATTGAATTAAGTCAGCTTTATTCCATTATTTCTAAGTAACCTTCTCGTAAATATAAATTATAATTCATGAATACAGCGAATGAAATAGAATTTTTTATAACAAAAATCTTGCTCATAATTTGTAGGAAAAGATTAATCTTTTATATTATGGCACACATATATTATAATTTTAGTATACATATTATATAAATTTATATTATATATACATAATTATTTTGATATATATATATATATATATATATATGTATACAAAATTTCATATTTTTAATATTAGTTTAACTGTCAAACTTCTCGTGGTATTTTTATTTAATTATATTTTTTTCTATTAAATTAGTTTAATAACACCACTAAGAAATTTAAAATACAATAAATATATTAATTAATCATTTCTTTACAGGTACGTTACGACCACCTGGTTTAATAGGTGGTTCAAAACCAAAAGTGGCAACGCCGGCTGTAGTATCAAAAATTGAACAATATAAAAGAGAAAATCCGACGATATTTGCGTGGGAAATTCGTGAAAGATTAATTTCAGAAGGTTAGTGAGTAAGTTTTTATGAATTAAGAAATTTTATAAAAAAAATGAAAACAAAAACAGCATATATTAACAGTATAAACACACAAATTAAAAAACAAAATATTTTTTGCTGTTCACAATCCTTGCCTCTTATTTTTTATTTTTTTCTATACTTGAAAATTTAAGAAGAAAAACGCAAAATTCATAAAAAAAGATCAGCGATTAGCGACGCGTTTTGATTACATCGTTTTACAAGAGTATAAGAACAAAAGAATGACATGATCAATCGTTTAGTGTCACATCAAATTGCACAAATCACTTGGATTTTTTTTGGTCCGTTTATTTAAAAATATACGCTTTTTTTGTGATTCTCTAAATTTTCTTACTTCAGTCAAATAAATCTTCTAAATTTAAGGTTATATTTTTTTGCGAAGTTTTTTTATCCTAAATGTTTTTATGCTAAAGAAAATTTACTGATCAATGTGACATTGATATTTTAATGGTGGTAATAATGATCATTCCTCTAGAATTATTCGAACTGTTGTAATAAGTTGACCATATGTATGCATACACGTACATATTGCTACATATTATAAAAATATTAATCCTATATGTACACGAATAGGTATTTGTTGTATAATACATATTATATAGACCTATATAGAGTGTCGCATCTAAGAGAATTTACTAGTAAGAACTTAATATGTAATAAATACTAATTTTAAGATATTTCAAGTGACATACCATTAAAATATCTGATATTTTATTACTCAAGTAGAATTCAGTTATTTTCAGAAACTATTTTAACTACACAGAGGATTCATATCTTTCCTCTCAGACAAATTCCCAATGTGGATTTACTTTGAAACCATTTGCCAATTTATTTTATGTAAAATAAAACCTAGAAAATCATACAAAATTTAAAAAAAGAAAACTAAAATATCTTAAAAAGGCGTAGCTGAAAACTGTTTATAAAATCATATTTAAAAGTTACATTATTGCTAAAAAAGGTTTTTTTTATAAAATGACTATTGGAATTTATCTAAGCGCAAATGTCAAAATATTTTTAAAATAAATCAAAAAGTAAATAAAGTCCTGTCAAACCAATTGGTCTTAAAGTACAAGAGAAAAATTGAGAAGAATTAGGATTAGAATTAACAAAGTATGTTGATTAGTAGACATAATGTAACTATATTTTCCTAAAGAATACATTTGCCGGCTTTTTTATACAAAAAGTTACGAAAGAGAATATTTTTAAGAATTTTATCGGTTGTAACCCTAAGAGCTTTTGCTGAATTTTTATTTTGTTTTCACAATTAGCGGGCTGTGTAACCGATTCACTTCATAACGGCAGGCTCGTGCACATTCTCTGCGACTGTCTTGGGCATGGGTCCCTAAGTGTTGGAACTGTTGTCCAACTCCCTTAGAGATATCTCCGGCTTTGTGGTTAGGACGGGGATATTATAGGTGGGAGCGTGGAGAGGCTACAATAAGTCAAGATTGGCTGCGGTGGCTTGGCGAGTTACTCCTGTCCCACTCGGTTCCCTTAAAATCTACAATCTACAACCCTAAGAGGTTAAAAAAAACTATCTTCTATAAAAACTAGTTTCACACAGAGAATCAACCATATTTATCAAAAACCTAATAATTTTGTAAACAATCGCATAAACAGACAGACGAATAATACGATTTTCATTTTTTTTTATGAATCCCTTTGAAAATATTCAATAGAAGATAAAAAACCTCAGCACAAGCTAAAAAGCATTACTTGCTACTTCGTCTATTTATGTGTCGGTCATCAGCAAATTATATGTTTATTTTCGGGAGTGAAACATTTAAATTTACCAATTCATTTTCGAAAATTTCAATGTGCTGTTTAAATTTTTTTAACAAATTATCACGTTTGTACTTTAATATTACTGAAACACTCTCTACCATTAAAATTTATATTATGTTTTTTATATTTATGTTTTGCATTTTTATATTATGTTTTTTTTTTAAATTTTATTTTCGGAGACAATTCGAGAACCTTTGAAGTTATCTACTTACGCGTTTTTACACACTGCATAATACACACAACACACATTTTTACAATATAAATAAAGAAAAAACTTTTGGAAGAATCCGGAGATTTCCAATTAAGGCAAAATAATTTCAATAAATAAAAAAAAAAGAGATGAAAGAGATGATCTCGTTTGATTTGTTGCCCCCAAGAAAGTCATTTCTCTTACTATACATTGAAACTATATACAACAAATTAACGCACATACATACATACAAAAAATATATACATTTGTTTTGTTTTCAATTTAATGATTGTAATTTGTATGAGATTTAAAAGGCAAAATAGTTATCGGCAAATAACAATGCTTTCGCAAAAATTTTTTATTTAGTTTTTATTTTATGTTATACAGAAAAACAAAGCTTAATAACAAGTCTTTAATATGCATATCTCATGTATATACATATACAATATATAAATGTATGTATACATTTGGTACTACGAATTTGATATTAAGCCCATCCGCTTGACATATAAGCATGTACGTTTTCATGTTCTCGTATATATAACTGAGTTAAGAGTGCATCAATCAATCGATCAATTTATGTACATCCGGACACCATGCAGATCAAAATGCAAATTTCCTTGATTTTTTCAATTCTTTGCAATTTATTTAGCGAATTGGATTTTTTGTGTGTGGTTTTCTTTTCATCTCATTACGTTACAAATGAAGATTCGCGAAATGATTTTAAATTTTCGTTTATTTTTCTATTCCTGCAAAGTGATTCGATTGTTTTTTTTTTGTAAGTTTGTTTTTGTGTTGATTTTTTATACTGTTTATATTAGTAATCAGTAGAAGTCATCAACAATTAAGTTACCTATTGTTAGTGATTGAATAACTGTCTGGTTGATTGCTGAAACTTAAATGCCCGGTGGTTTGGTTAATTTTGATGAAGAAATTTTGTAATTTTTTTTATTCTCCTTTAGTTTTATTTTTATTTTTTTTGTTATTATCTGATCTTATATAGTTTTTGTTTTACTTGTAACAATTAGTAAAATAAAAAGAAAATAAATGTTAAATTAAAGAAAAATTAAAGAAATATCCCACGCCGCCACCGTTATTACTAGTGCTTTGCTATAGAATTTAATGTAACGTTAATGTACTGTGCTTCTTATTTTGTTATACTTCTTTCTAGGAAAATATACCAGAGAGCTTCAACTACATCTTCAATATGTAGCAAATTTATATTGATTGCTTAGGGAAATTTAATTTAGTTTTTAACTGTAAATTATTGTAATCTCTTTTCTTGATTTCATTATTACATTGTCATATAACGGTACAATAGCTCTTGATTAATGTTTTAAGGAAAGTCCTTCTATTATTTTGAAATATTTAATGATGTACTATGATATTGAATATAATGTTAATTAAGTTTTAAATTTATGGTAATATTTAAATTGGTACATGTAAAATTTTCCAGAATGTTTAAATATTTAAAATGTATTTACTTCTGACTTTCATGATTTCCTTTACAATGGCATTTTTATAATTTCGAAAAATCTGATGAGACTGATACTTAAAACTTTTATTTAATTTGAAAATCTCTCAAATCACAAAACTTTTTAGTACTGTTATACACGGAATTATTACAAATAATTGTAATGTAATAAAATAAATGTTAATGGTTTACTGAAGCCATTTTGAATTTACAAACACTTACAAGATAAATGATTATTACATGTGGAATCCGGTGGGAAATCTATGGGTTATATAGGTGATTTTTTTAAGGTACATACATACATATTTTGTTGAGTTTTAAGAAATTACAGTACTAGCGAAAACAGTGTTAATCATGTTAAAACTTCCTTGAACAACTGTGCACACAGAGTAAAAAATTTTATAAAGCAATTTTTGTTTTTCTGAAAATTTATGAAGAAAAATATATACATATATTACTTTAACAATGGATTTAAATGTGCTTATAAAATTTACGCTCTTAAGTTTGGTTCAGTTCATGAAGTCAAATACATCCCAAAAGTTGATCAACCGTGCCATAGCCAAATTAACTTCACATCAAAAATCGGTTCTTAATCAAATTTCAACAAAAATAGTTTTTGAGATATGAGATACACGCGTGCACACACCGAAAGACCGACGAACCGACATCTTTTTAAAAATAATTTATTTACGCTTCCTTATTATGGAAAAGTGCGTTTCCACTGAAAATTCGACATCCGAAATTTTGGTGCCATCATATAACCTTCCTTATTTTATGCAATATGGTCAGTAAAAAGTTAAACGCACATAACTTAGCAACAGAACCAATATCATGCAGAAAATTCATATATATTGACACGACTAACTTTTTCTACTCTCATTATTTTTCCATTTCATTTGTAAATACTCAAATTAATTTAGTTTTAAAACACAAAGTAACCCAATATTTTTAGAGCCACGAAGAAATAAAAATCAATTGAACTTATTTTATTTCTTCTTATATCTTAAATAATTTTTATTAGAAACTTTCATTATTTTCTGCATCAGAAAAGTAAAAATATTTTAATTGGACTCAAAAAAAAAAAAAACAAAAATCCAAACAGAGATTCTCGTATATCATCGTCCAGGTGATATCTGTATCCTTTAATTGAAACCAGTACAAATTCAAAAAAGAGAAAGAAACTCAAAAAATTTAAAAACAACGAAAAAATAAACTTTTGCAACAAAAACATCAAATCGTCGGATACTCTCGATAATCTGAAAGCGGAAAGAAATAAAAACAATTGTGATTCTATATCAATGTAAGCATCAATTTTGTTGTTTTGTTGGACATGAGAAAAGGAAGTGATTATTGAGCACTTTGTTATTGCGATGAAATGACAAACCGAGCCGAACTAAACCAAATCAAATCACATTGAAACAATTTAACGACAACAAAGATGAAAATGTGATTTGTGATTGCTCTTTTATTGATTTATTGACCTGATGGCTTTAGAGTTTTTTTCTTTTTTTTTTTTTGCT